TGAAGGTTAACAGAGCAAATTAGTTTCTCATTAAACAATTAATACACATATTGTTTTATGACATTGGTTGCCAACCCCACAACATGTCAACACTCTCCCCTTCTGGACCTTGGGTTCTCTGTTACCAGCTTTCCTGTCCCCTCCTGCCTTCTTGTCTTTACCCCTGGGCTGGTGTGCCCAGTTAAGTCTTGTTTTATGTGCCTGTCTAATCTTTGGGTGAAGGGTGAACTCAGGAGTGACTTAAGTACTGAGTTAAAAGGGTGTCTGGGGGCCATACTCGGCATTTCTCCAGTCTCTGTCAGACCAGTAAGTCTGGTCTGTTTGTGAGTTAGAATTTTGTTCTACATTTTTCTCCAGCTCTGTCCGGGACCTTCTATTGTGATCCCTGTCAGAGCAGTCAGTGGTGGTAGCCGGGCACCACCTAGTCGTGCTGGACTCAGTGTGGTGGAGGCTGTGGTAGTTGCGGTCCATTAGTCAGATAATAGAATTCTTGAGTGACAGTTCTTTTCTTTGAGCACTTTAAATATGTCACTCCACTGCCTTCTGAGCTCCAAGGTTTCTGAGGAGAAACTGGCACTTAATCTTACTGAGGCTCTCTTGTATGTGACAATTCACTTCTCTCTTGCTGGTTTTAGAAGTCTCTATCTTTGGTTTTCAAAAGTGTTATTATAATGTGTCTCAGTGTGGATGGTTGGTCCTACTTGGAGTTCATTGAGCTTCTTGGATTTGAGATTCACATGTCCTTCGTCAAATCTGGGAAGTTTTCTGCCGTTATTTCTTCAAATATTTTTTTCTGTCCCCTTCGCTCTCCTCTCCTTCTGGAATTTCCATGATGTGTATGTTGGTTCCCTTGATGGTGTCCCACAATTCTATTAGCCTTTACTCAGTTTTCTTTATCCTTTTTTGTCTTGTTGCATTTCATACTCAATAATTTTGATTGCCTTATCCTCTAGTTCATTTATTCATTCTTCTGCCAGCTCAAACGTGCTGTTGAGTCCCTCCATTGAATTTTTCAATTCAATGGTATTTTTTAGTTCCACATTTGCTTGTTTTTTTTAATATAGTTTCTTTTTATTGAAATTCTCACAATGTTCCATTATCATTTTCCTGATTTATTTCATCATCCACATTTTGCTTCTCTGAGCATATTTAGTATTGCTGTTTTAAAGTCCTCTAATCTGTCCATTACCTAGAATTCAGTAGGGACAGTTTCTCTCTCTCCATTTTGTTCTTTCAATTGTGCCATCTTTTCCTATTTCTTTGTATATCTTATGTTTTGTTGTTTAAAACTGGACATTTGAATATTATAATGTGGTAACTCTTCCACAGGGATCCCTTTTATCCTCCTCAATAACTGAAGGCTATAGTAGTCCATTTGCTCAGCAACCTTTCCTAACTCTTTTTGCCGAGGAATGGGATGATAGCTGGTTGGTGCATGTGGCTCACCTAAAAAACATCAGCAGCCTGTCCCTTCATCAAGCACCCCTCTGATTGGTTTAAGTGTCTGATCAGGTTCTAGAGCTCCAAAATAGATGGTTCCAATTGCACTTCCCAGTTCACTTGTTGTTTTGGCCAAGGGATCAACCTCTATAGCCTCCTGCTCCTCCATTTTGTATGATGTCACTAACATTTGTTTTTGGGCAGATTTTGTGGTGAATAATTCTTAGTTTTCTTACATGCAAATATTTTTATTTCACGGGCATTTCTGTTATTTTAGATGGATATATTAGATTTTTATTTTAACCCTCTTTTTCCACCATGGCTTCTGATGAGGAATGTGCAGTTATCCAAATTGTTGCCACCCCATACGTAATGGGTCATTTTTCTTTGGCTGCTTTCATGATTTGTTACCTTTGAGTTTTAGTAATTTGATTATGATGTGTCTGGACTTGGTTTTCTTTCAGTTTATTGTTTGGGTCTCACCAAGCTTTATGAATCTTTAAATTTATGTCTTTCACTAAGTTTGGGAAGTTTTTAACCATTATTTCTTGAAAAAAAGTTTTTTTTTTAAAAAAAAATCAATGTTTTTCTCCTCTGGGAATTCAGGGACACAAATTTATACTTTTGGTATTGTCCCACAAGTCCCCAGACTGTTCATTTTTGTTGTTGTTGTTGTTCAGATTGGATAATTTCTATTAATGTACTGACTTCTCTGCCATCTCTATTCTGCTGTGGAGCTCATCCAGTGAATTTTTCATTTGTTATTTTCCAGATCTATACATTCCATTTAGTTCTTTTTTATGGTTTCTATTTTTACCCCCTTGAGATCTTTTGTGTTTTTATTCAAGAGCATTTGCCAACTTACAATGAGGTTCTGTTTTGATGACTCTGTCATAGGTTCGTTCTGATGTAATTTGAGTACCTCTTTTATTTTAGTTTTCTTAATATATCTGATCTTTGAACATCTGCAAGTGAACATCTGAGAATGATTAACAGCAAATTCCATGCTGCAACACTGTATGTAGTACATATTACTAATGATAAGGTATTTAAAAAAAAAAAAAATATGGTCGTAAATGCAGTTTGTCGTAACTCGAGTATGTCATAAGTCAGGGACTATCTGTGGTTATAACTGCTTTAATGTCTTTTTCTGATAATTCCAACATCTGGGTCATATGCTGGACTTGACATCTGTTCATTGTTGTTTCTTTTGATAGTTGAGATTTTCCTGATTGTATGTTAAGTAATTTTGGATTGTATCCTGGGCATTTTGTATATTATGGAACTGAATCTTGTTAAAATCCTATGAAGAATTTTGACATTTTTGCTGTAGCAGGCAATTAACTGAGCTCGGTTCGGACTGCAAGTGCTCACCCTCCTTCTGTGTGCTGTGGTTCTGGTGTCAGTTTTCAAAGTCTGTGCACAGCTATTCAGGTCTGCACCTCGTGTGCACTACCCAGGGGTCAGTATATACTGTAGTTCAGTTTCTTGTTGCTCCTCAAGCCAGGTTACGTCCATTCAATGCATGTATAGCTTGGGGGCAAATCCAGGGTGTCACAGACAGCTTCTTCTCCATGATCTCCCCGAACACTTACTGTCTCCTAGGAGCTCTTTTGGTCCTCTGGCTAAAGATTTTAGCCTCCTTGTATTGTCACACACTTCGAGTGGGTCCAGCTTGGAGACAAAGCGGTGAGAGAAAAATAATGGGAATTCTCCCCCCCACTACCACCACCATCACCCTCTTTGGTCCACAGGTGCCCCTTTTCCTAGTTGTTCTTATCAGAGAAAAGGATTTTCTCTCAGCATCCTTAGGGTCTGCAGGGCTGCTGCTTGCAGGCGTGCAGCTTCATGATTTCCTCTCACAGTCTCTGTCCCACAGGATCCCACCTCCTTGTCCTTTGGTTAGGTGAGAGGGGAGAGGGCTCCTTTTGGGTATTTCTATGTTCATCCCTAATATATTCTGCTATTCAGGCTTTCCTAATCTAAGGCAAGAGCTATGGGGTGTAGGGGGGAGGATTTCAGGAAAATAATAGCCATATTGTTGTTCTAATTTTGATCCTCCTGCCCTAATCTGCCCGCTCTTATTCATTTTTCAGATGTAAACGATTGATAGTTATTGGCATTGGGAGAGAGAGGGTGGAATGTGCTCATTCCACTGGAACCTCTGCAGGACATTATTTCCAAAAGCAGGAAACACAGGGCCCTAGGTATAGTCATCTCATCAGGTATCATCTGAGACCGACTTTAAATTCTGATTTTCTTATTGCTGTGGACATATGCAGAGGGGTAACAAGAGGTATGTTGACCTAGCGCAGTATGTCCACAAAAACCTACAGGAAGTTCTGGTAAATGGGGTAAAGTTTAAATTATTATATATTGGGGTTTCTTTCATCTCTGTATGTTTAGTGCTGAACTTACTATATGGTGATTGCATGTAAGTTCATGATATACCCTTATATCTTCCTTATAAATAACATGTGGCTCTATTTGTGGGGTTTCCCTGCAAAGCCAACAGGGCTTTTTGCTACATTAACTTTTGTACTAGTTACTGGCAGTCTCCTGTATCCGAAGGCCTCCTTCCTTTTCTTTTTTTTTTTTTAAAAAAATAAAGCTATGTTATGTTCTAGAATAGCTGTCACCTCTTCTTTGACTCCATTTACCTTCAACAAGGTGAACCTAACAAATTAAGAGTCGATTTTCCTAAGAGAGAAAGAGGAAAGTTAAGACTGTAATGCATTTCAAAGTTATCTATTAATATAACATGGACAACAGATCTGACAAAAATAAATTGGGAATGACTGCTTCCTTTTGTTAAGAGGATATATAGTCTCAGTATATGATAAACAATTCTTTTATGCTAATATGAACTGTTTTTAAATTCAGGTATCAGTGTAGGCAACCTCCACTTATGAATTTTTTCCCCAGTACACTAAATTTAAGCTTCACTTTTAGCTCCCAAAGAGGCCTCCAGGTTATTATTGTCAGTATTGCTCCTTCCCTGTGACAACGCTTCAGCACATCAACAAGCCGTATCACAGAGTTTCTAGTAGTAAGATGATTACAGTGTTACGGTTTAGGAACTTGAACACCAGTGACCTCTGGAAGATCTCTTTCATCTCGTGGGAGAATACATCCCAAATTATTTACAATGATCTTGATCCTTAAGGCTAAAGGGCAGATCTTCAGAAGAAATGGTAGTGACAACCAGAACTTCAAAATAAACTTTAAAACTCCAGTGCCACAGATAAAATCAGCAAGAATTTGTTAGCACTGCCTGTGACTCTGCCTTTTTCCCATGCAAACCCTAGTCTATTAGCAGAACCTTTATACCAGTAATCAAAAGCCACTCCTTGGGAAAGTCTCCCCAATCCTCTAAGGCCTTTGGTGTGCTCAGAGAGAGTACAAAGTTAAAAAGCAAAAAAGAAATGCCAGCTGAAGTTTATACTTACCAAAATGACAATGATACTCTGTATTCAATTAAAATTAATAAAAATATTTTATTGAATTTCAGGAACTTGGTACTTTTCTGTTAAAATTTCAAATCTTTGCACACAAATCACCACTGTATTTTCTAGAATAGTCTAAGTTAGGACTTCAAGATTGTTACTTGTATCCTGTGTCACAGAGCATAGAAATCCCAAGTCCTGACACTGCCCCCACCCCACCCCCCTTCTGACCATAACTACCGACTACTCTGTTATACTAGCAGAGGACAATGACGGAAGTGGGTGGTATATTTAAGGAGCTCGACTGTCCACGCGCATGCTCTACAGAAGCAAGAGGAAGATCAATCCAGAAATCATCCCATGGACGCTTTGGAATGCAACACATAATTTGGATTCTACGTTGAGTTTCCCTTTTGAATTATCGTTTGGTTCTGGCCAAAGCTGTTGAAATTAAGTTTCTATTCCCTGAGGGAGCTCAGAAGTTTGGCAAAGGTCAAAGCAGAGACTTCTTCAAAATAAACAGTCAGCAATCACAAGTGGATAGCTGGGAGCTCACTGCATGTGTATCTGGGTTAAGAGACTCAAGAGTATGAGATGGGATGTTGACACAGTGGCCCCGAAAGCACCCGGCAGCTGCATCCTGAAGGAGTTCAGTGATCCCTGGTGTGCTGAGGGCTCTTAGGAATTCACAGCTCAATCCCAACTTCAAAAACTGCCTTAAAGGCTGGGAAGAAAAACTGGGATGTGATAACTTGCTAATCCATCGTTTTGTTTCTGCCCTCTCCTTGATATTCTTAAATTCCTATGTGCAGTGAATAAGCTGACTGAATACGGCAGCCAGAGGGAAAAGGAAAGAACACCCTCACACCTGAAAAAAGGCACACCTTTTAGTCTGAGTTGATGATTTAGAATGCTGCCCTTCTAGCAAAACAACTCATGCTTTTTTCTCTATAAAATCTAAGAACTGGACAACTCTCTTACACGTAATCCTGACAGTAATCCCTCCAGCCCTAGAAAGTTTTTTTAGGCTCAGAATCACCCACTTTCTGGACTGCACCCATGCAGGGCAAATCCACCCTGAGACTTCCTGGATGACAGCAGGACTTGGCACAGTACCCTTAGAGACAGCTCCACAAGGTGCTGTGTCCATTCACCCGCCTGAAGTTCCCCGGCTGGTCCCCTGCCAGAAGACGTGAGCACTGGGCTGTTCCTTCTCTGCCGCCTCTAGAGGGGCCCAACCCCACACATAGGACACAGGAAAGTCCAAATGATTCTGCAAACTGCCAACCTTCCGAACAAGGAAACAAAACGGTGCATTCCAACGGATCTGTGAAGCACCTGGAAGCTGAGGGCTGCAGCCCAGAGGCGCATGGACTCCCAGCATGCTGCAGGCCTGGGTTTTGCTACAGTCACACAGACGGCGGCATTCACAGGATGGTGTCTGTTTTTGACATGGCTGAGTTATAAAGCCAGCTAGTGGGTCGGGATCTAATAATCTTTAATATGCATATCTGCAGGAACATTGTGACAGCTCCATGCCGTGGATCAACACACAATACTTAGAAGAGATTTATCATATTTGGTCTTTAGGTAAATAATAAATGTTTTAAAATTGCCTAAATATACCATTCTGAGCTGCTTCATTCCACCAGGAAAATACAGGCTTTCTCCTCTCTTTAAAAAAAATTAAATACCAAAATAACTACATTTAAATAAATAATGGTATGATGACGACGTGAAAAAATCCGCAAGGCCAAAGCCCTGTCTGCGCGCACGGCCGCTCAGCCCTGACCCCCAGTGCACTCTGCAAAGACGAGCGGTTTCTTCCCGGGGATGAGCTGAGGCCATGCTGGGCCTTCCACTTGTCATGCTCACCTCTGTCTCCTTGCCACGTGCTCTTCTTCAGTAGGAGAGAAGCCAGCCTCAGTATCGATGCAGTTCTGAAAGGTCCAGGGGTTTCCTATTGTGAATCAGAAAACGACCTCCACGTTCCAAACGCTAACTGCAGGGTGCCTGCTTCCAGGGGCCTCCGTGAACACGCAGCTCTGTCCACCCCACGCAGGGAGCGGGGACAAGCTGTCAGTTCTAAAGCCAGGTGGTGACACCTAAAATGTCGACTATGTCACGAGAGATCTTTGATCTTTGTTTGAAAAGGGTGTGTGATAAAAGATTGAATCTTTTTTCCCCAAACGAATTGGTAATAGTTCTGTAGTTTTAAACAGAATACAATACTTAGCGAGACTTGTTTCACTCAGAGTGGAAAACGACGCCAGGGACAAAGTCAACGCAAAGAAACAAACGACAAGAAGGAGCAAGAAAGAAGCAGGTCAAGTGCAGCTCTGGCGACTCCAGCAGTTTTCTACCCGCTGGCCACAGGCCCCCGTCCCCGCGCTTCGTCGTCACATGCAGCCCGGGAGTGTCGGGTCACCACACACAGAAAGAGGTGGGTCAGTTCATCAGGCAGCCACCCTGACGCAGACCATCTGCAGCTACCACAGAGTCGCGTCATCCGAACTCTAACAGGACAGACAAGAGGAAATCATTCCATGGGCTGAAAACAACAAAAACTGCATTCTTTCTTTTCCCCAAGTGAAATTTCACATGAAAAGTACTGTGTGATTCCAAAATTTCCAGAGTAGAAATGGAGTGATGTGAAATGTCAACGACCCCATTATTTTGTAAAGAAAGAAAGTACGCCTCAAAATATTCTAATTCCACATGTGAACAACAAAATACTGTCTCCCGGCGCCTGCCGCAGCGGCTCATGAGTGCCACGGGGGCAGCCTGCGTCTGTCCCCGTGCGGAGGGCCCCGTCCCGTGAGTCATGCGCTGCTGTCCCGGAGACGCTCAGTCCTGAAGTGAGGCCTGGAGGGTGACTCTAAGTGCCGCGGCCAGCGAGGTTCGGCAGGGAAGGAGACCGTGGCCTCTGGATCAAGGTTTTGCTGTGTGTGGTTTTTTTTCAAGTGTGATTTCTGTTTTTAAATCAAGGAGTCTTAAGGCCACCTGGGTTTGCGTTTTCAGTGCTGAGGGGCGAAGTCCAACCGCAGGGCCCTTTACCGCTGAGGGGAACGTCTGACGCGAAGGGTGAGCGCGCCTCCTTTTGGCACCACAGTTGACACTCTGTGAAAGAAGAGCGCGTGCCTAGTTCTGGACGCCCTTCTCCCGCACGGCTGTAGGTGGCGCGTCCACACTCACGGCAATGACGATGCTCTCTCCATCCTCCGTCTTGATCCGCTTCAACTCCGGCTGCTCTGGCGGCTCGCCATTCTGACGCTTTGTAGGCAGGGACGCGGACGCCGACGCGTGGGTCGCCAGCATGTGTAAGGGGCTTGCAGCTGCTGCAAAGAGACCATGAGTCAAAACCACAGGCCAGCAGTCAAATGCTCAACCCCACCCCCACCCCGCCAGAGACCCCACTGAGGCGGCAGCTTCTCCTGCGAGTCTGCAATGGCCGAGGGAGGAGCTGGGGCCAGAAAACTGCGCAAACTAACCACGTCGGTAGTTGGTATTTTTACTAACAAAAGCATGCTACTTCAAGTAATAAAAAAGATGCCATTTGAGGGTCAGAGTTATCAGCAACTGGGACACAGTCAGGAGCTGGCTTTGCTGCAGGCAACCCCCACCCTCATGCTGACCGTTCCCGGTGCCTTTCCACACAGGAGGAGGGCAGGGCGAGGGACACCGCCAGCCGTAAAGGTCTCGCCGGGAGATAAGCACCACGGCTTCTCCACCAGTTGCTGCCTTGGCCACTGAGGGCCGATACCTGGGCCAGCAGGTGCGCCTCAACACAGCGCATCCAGCGGGGTCTGGTGGCGGCTCGTTTCCGTTTCAACGTCAGTGATACACACACATCCCTGAGTGGCCTGCACTCCTCAGCCACATCCCGTACCTGAGCCCACCCGGGCATTCTTGTCCTGGTGGCTGCTTCACGCAGGCTGAGGTCTCGCCCCCAGACATGGCCACACTGGTCTCTGTTGGGCGGCTCAGGGACACTTCTCACAAGGGCAGCACACACCTTTCCTGGCTGGCCGCCAGCTCCTCTCCCTTGCCTGGCCACACTGCACTGGAGACAGCGCCCCCTCGGGGGCCTGAAACCCTGCCTGACCTGCCCATCTGGTTCCTCTGCCCACGAGGCCGCCTGCCCACCTTTCCTTGGCCCACAGCCCAGGCCTCCCCCGGCCGTGCCTGTAAAGAAGAGCTAACTTTGAGGTTCAGAACTGATCAGAATAACGATGTTCAGAGGCCAAGTTTCCAGTCATGGAAAGGTGCTGCTGGGGGCAGCTCCAGTTCAGAGAAAGGGAAGCCCCAGTACCGTCAGGACGCCAGTTCTCCCACGCTCCTCTAGAATCCACGCCAGCCCACCAAGAGCCCAGCGGGCATCTGTGCAGAAGCCAACAAGCTGATTCTAGACCCACGTGAGATAGAGGAACCAGAACGTCCAAAACAACTTAGGAAAAAGCAGAGCTGGAGGGCTTGTGCATCTGATGGCAAGACTTTGCAAAGCCAGTGATCACTGCAGCTGGGCACTGCTGTAGAGAGGGCCACCGATCGAGGGGACAGAGACCATGTACTGTTGTCAACTGCTTTCTGACAAAGACGGACAATTCAGTGGAGAGAGGACCATCTTGTCAACTAACAATCCTGGAACAACTGGGTATCTTTATAGAAAAAAATGAACCTCGACTTCAAATTTAACTGAAAATCGACCAGATACCTAAGTGAAAGAGCTAAAACATCTAAAGCAAACAAAGGAGAAAATCTCAGTGACCTTGGGTTTGACAAAGATCTTTCACACACAACACAAAAGCAGAAACCCTACGGGGGAAAAGGAAAGATAAACTGGACTTCATCAAAATTTAAACATCTTGCTCTTCAAAAGACACGATCGTGAAATGGAAAGGCAATCCACAGACCGGGGGAAAATATCCGCAAACTGTACCTCGGACAAAGGGCTTTGTCTAGAATACACGAACAACTCGTGTAAGTCAATAACAAGGAAAACAATGCAAGTCAAACATCGGGCAAAAGACGTGAACAGACGCTTCACCAGAGATGTTCAGGTGTCACACAGGCGCGTAAGACACTCACCGTTCGTCACCGGGAGGAAAACGCCAGTTTACGTCAATCAAACAACTAGGATGGCCAAGAAGGAGAGCACACCGAGACTGACGAGGACGTGGGACAGCCGGACGCCCACAGCCGGACGCACCGCTGGCGGGCAAGCGCAACACGGGGCAGCCGCGCTGCGGAAGAATCTGCCAGTTTCTTAAACAGGCAGTCGTATATCCACCTACGACCCAGGCACTCCACTCTCAGGTATCTACCCCCAAAATGAAAGGGCACGTCCACTGTGGGACTGACGGGCACAACTAATCCTAAGTGCTGGATGCGGGTCAGGGACGACCACACACATCCTGATGAAGGTTAGGAAAGCGGGACGTCGGAGCGAGCTCCACGGAACCACTGATGCAAACTTAGTGTCTGCTGACCTGTTACTAAAAGTAGCTTTAATTCCATACAAATACAGCTGAAAACCCACTTCGGCTCGGCAGCCATTTGCTGGCTTCCCGCATGCCTTCACGGTTGTGTGTGTGAGGGCTTTCTGGTTTTTCATTCAGTAATACAGTTAGCCAATTCTGTAATTCATAACCGTGTGTTCCTCAACACCGTGGAGACGAGGACGGGACTCCCTTTATCAACACTTCCAATGGCACATTTGTCGAGGGTTTGTGGCCACCTTCATCAGGTAGGAGACTATTCGCTAAAACCAACTACTTGGCTCAGCAGGACTGGGTTCCCAGGGGATATCCCAAACCCTCACTGCAAATTCTGAGTTACTATTAAGCAGAATGGTAGTACAGCTTCCAAGGTCCTGTCTGGCTTGTTTCTGGCCTTAATGGCCCCCAAATGCCTAACAGTCTTGGGTTGATCAGCAGCCCGCCACAACTCCTGCCCTTCCAGTGGTTCCTGGGTGGTGAGGGCAGGTGACCCGGCTGTCCAGTGCATGCCACATCCTCCTGCCCTCAGCTCTGGGTCTTGCCCGTCTCCTCTGCTGTGTCCAAACAGCCACGAAGCGTGACATGCAGAAGTTAAGAGCGTGAAGGAATAGCTCGCCACCTCCACCAAGAGAGACAACTCTCAGGCAAAGCACACCACTCTCGTGGGGCACACACACAGGGCCGCTGGACAGCACCACACAGATACTGTGAAGCCGTGTTCCACCAGCCACGCTGCAGGGTGGCTCCAGGACACACCCAGGTGCCTACAACAGTGAGTGTGTTAACGACCGTGCGGTATTAGACATTCTAATCTCTTTTCAGACGGCTCCTCAAAGGGGAATCCTGCTGACAGCTGCCTGCCCTGGCCACTTCCTGGGTGTTGCGTGTTACCTGGAGACGGCCCACAGCCTGGAAATGCCAACGCTTCCTCAGATAAAGCATTAAAAAGGCAACAGTCGGAACCGAACACTGAGCACCCCCTTCTTGGACTATACAGCTCCATGGGTCTTCCCTCTGGTCATTTGCACCCAGGGACACAGCTAGGAGGGCTGAGGGGGCGGTCACTCGTGCCCGGGGACACGGCTAGGAGGGCTGGGTGGAGGGCTGGGTGGGCGGTCACCCGCGCCCGGGAACACGGCTAGGAGGGCTGGGTGGGCGGTCATTCGCGCCCGGGAACACGGCTAGGAGGGCTGGGTGGGTGGTCATTCGCGCCCGGGGACACGGCTAGGAGGGCTGGG